ATATTCTTCTACAAATTCAAAAGATGACGACAAAAATGTGCAGATTAAACTCTTGTAGGTTAAAGTAAAGGAGAGGCTTTGACATTGTTTCCATTCCTCCTGCAGAGCGGCGCAGAGAGCAGCCCAGCCCTTTGGCACTTGAGAACGTGAGATCTCCACCCAGGCGGTGTCAGACCAGTGCACACATATGAAGATTGGAGGAGGAGGAAGAGGAGGAGGGAGGAGGAAACCGCTCCACTACTTCACTGCTGCTGGTTGTGAAAACAGACTCACTGTTTCCTTCAAGGTTAACACCAACGGTGGAGGGAACAAAAAGGGGTTTCACCAAAACCTTTCTATTCACCGTCAAGTCACGCCCAATAATAACTCATCTCAACCAAACTCCTCTGACTCAGACTCGCCTCAACTCTACTGTAACTTTAAGAGAACAGGATTATTTAGGACATTGCACCAATTTAACCCTTAGATGTCTGAATTAATTCAGCCATTTTTGAATATTTCTTATTTTATCTTCAGCTCAACTACACCCATCAGACCACACTTCACTTAAACCTACTTTATTAACATATTGAACACGAAAAACATCAAAACTTAAATTAAACCACCTAAAATAACCAACTTAAGTTAAAGTGGAAATTTTTAGGGGGTTTTCCTTCCACAATATTTATATTAAATTAAATTCAGTTTATTTATATGACAACAATTCAAAACACGTCTTTAACAGCATCTTTCACTTAAAAATACATCGGCATAATAACAATTTCTGCTTAATGAACCATATATATATATATATATATATATATATATATATATATATATATGGGGCCTTAAGCAGAAATAGTTTTGAGGCCCATTCTGTTCAAACCATCAGCACCATTAACAGTTTTTCAGTACAAATGTGGGGAATCCTGGGAGAGGGGCCTTTAATTTGCTGAGATGTGTTTATAGACAAACCAAATCTCAGACACAAAGAAAAGGTCAAACTACAGGAACAACAATCATCTCTATGCTAGGACTGTACAAATTCTTTAAATGCTAAAACATTTCGGATTATTGATACAGAAACCATCAAAAACAAACTAGATATCTATACACCTGAATAAATAAAGTAAATTCAAGCTATATGCTTTTACAGACTTGTTTTATGCTTCAAATTTCACCACAGCATTGCTTTTTTTGGAGGAAAAGGAATAATTGGGACAAAGTTCTCTCAAGGTTTCAGAAATATGCTAATTTGTTCAGTCTGAGTTGTGTTTGGATGCGTCATGGTAACAACAGAAAACATAGTATTGGTTCTGCCTGCAGTCTGTAGTTTACCCGTCTGACTTCATTCCTCAGACTTCTGATACTCTGACCAGATAGCTTCTTCATTTCCTACTATAAAGTTTAGTCATCTAACTCAACATGTCTCATGAAATGAACCACAACTGAGCACCAAAAGCTTTTTATATGTTTAAATTCTTAAGAGTTAACCGGCTTGTTTCCTTCAGTGATCACATGAACAACATTCCTGTTATGCTCCTCTGGTTTTCCAGCCTTCTGGTTAATCAAGTAATTATGAATAACAGCTGAAACTGAACTACTTTCTAAAGCTTGACTGTGAATCTAACTCTATATTCTTCATTTCAGAGTTGGTTTAAGAATTTGGAGGACAATTAAAGCCAAACTTAAAAAGCTGCAGAACACGACCAACAATCTGGAATGATAAAAACTGAGCCACCCTTTGTTTCTACCACAACAGAACATGAAAGAGCCGCTCACTGTGAACTTATTTTCTAAGCAATCAAAGTGTGTCATTACCTCAGACTGTGCTGCTGCACACACTGCTGATCAAATCTCATTCCAGGAATATTTGCAGGGAGACGAGATCAAGTCCAGTGAGAATGAGGCCACTGAAATACCATCAGAACTGCTTCACTGCTCACCTTTCCACCAAGAGGGTGTTTATTCTGTATCACACATCTATGCTACCACCCTGTCTACGTCTCTTTCTTTAACCACTGGGTTCGTTATTTTTATGTCAATCCATCATTTACTGCTGGAACTGACACCATGCAAGAGTTTCTCATCAAATAAATTGAGGTTTCTGTCAGTTTTTAAATAATAATAATATATTCAATTGCATTTAATTTTCATCATCAAGCTGAACAGAGGTGTGCACAGCAACCAGATAAATACATGTAACATTTTCTCCATAATGAAAAATAAATAAATTAATTAAAAGACTGCCTTAAGTTATGAGCTATTAATCTGCAGTGGCCTGAACTTAATCTCATAACTGCGTTCAGGTCAAACTGTGGGATGCAGATAAACTAATACTGAGGAAGACTGAACATTAAGTTCTGCTTGTTGATAAAAATTAGATTAACTAATTACTCCATTACAAAACCTTGAACTAGCTTTATAAAATTCGACAACTACAAATAAAACATCCGACAGTCATTTCAGAGATTTCCAATTCTGTATCAACTTATTAACCTGAACACTAAAAAAAGATAAAGCATTTACATTCTGTGCAGAGATACAGAATGCCATATTATACGATGAATGGATTTTCCAGCAGATATTAACCAGATCCACATCATATGAACTAATATGGACTTGCCTCTATTTTTGTATGCATTTTGGTTTTTTTAATGTCTTCACTGCTGTTTGAACAACAAACGGCCCCCATAATAAAGTTTACTTAACTAATTAGATGATGTTATCAAACATTGATTAAATTCATGTAATTTTACGGTCAGGATAGATAACTCCCCTCTTGACTCCAACATTTCAGAGCGTACAGGCCCAGATGTGAGCAGACTGTGTGAAAGTGTCATGGGGAGCTGTGAGGTCAGTGTGACAGAGGTGAAGCATATTCAGTATCTTCTGCGAAGGCCGAGTGTCGTTCAGGGCCAAAGTTCACCTCATGTTAGACGAATCAACTCATTAAATTAGGAAAACAATGAGCTGACCAGCAGCTCTGTCTGATTTCATTAAAAACGCTGCAGCAGGTTAACACCTCTGTGAACTACATCCAGCGAAACACAGTAGTCAGCGATTTTCTCTCCTCTGTTATGGCTGTTATTGATGACCATCATATTTGTGCTGCTGTGGGCTTATAACATAAAAGATGGAATCGTTCAATCATTCAACCTGCTGCACTTCATTTTAAAGACTCACATTTATTTCTCTTTAACTTCACTTATTTTACTCTTAAGAAATCAGACAGATGTAATACCTGATGATGTACCAATCCCCTTTTTTCACTTCCGATATCTGAGGTTCAGTTTCGGCCGATACGGATCCGATTCAGAAAAACAGCACTTACTTTAAAAACAGACATAAATGTACTGACTTACAAAAGTATTTGATGACTCCACGAGTGCAGACTGACTAGATCTGCCCTTATGGATTGGGCACATTGACACTGATATCCGCTCTAAAATATTTTTAAAATTATGACTAATACAGATATTAATACTGAATCAGTGCAGCTCTAATAATACCACCTAAAATAGCTGGTAAGATGAGAAAATAAAATCCTAATGAATTGACTTATACGACCAAAACTTTCCACTCCAACATATCTGATCTTTTATGCACACGCCCACTTCAAATACATTCCTGCATTCTCAGCATGCAAGGAACTGGTACTGCATGCCATTTGTCATTATGAAGAAAAAAATGACAGCAATGTGGAAGATGTGTGTCCAGTCGGCCTCCTCCTCGTCCATTTCATAAGCTTCACTGCACACCGACATGTAGTTATGACAAGAATGGCAGAAATTACAGTAGAGTGAGTCCTGAAGGACAGCTTCAAGAGTTCACTGGCTTTTAATTGCATTGCTAACAAGGGAAATTAAAATAAAGCAGTTAATTATCAGAGTCAGGCCAACAAGCATATTAATGACTGAATTTCCTGATGTTGCTGATTTGTTTTTCTGTTTTTGCTCCTAGATGTCACCGGAGTAATTTTACTGGAACACATGGTCTGGAAAAATGTCAGATGAAATGTCAACAAAACCTAAAGCGACACTTTAAGCTGTTTTAGCATGTATGGAATTATGCAGTCCAACCCAATTTTAGCTTTTATTGCTAGCTATGTTTTCAAAAGCAACAAAAACGCCTGTCACAAAAACACATTTCCTGGACAATAAACTAGTCCAGAAATTATTGTGATAAATGATAATATTGTCGTTTTAAGACCATTTTCAAGCAATGAATTGATAATGGCACAATGATGTAAATTTGCCTTATCAAAGACCAATAAACTTTAATTTTGCTAAGAACTGGAAGATAGCTTAAATTTCCAGCAACTAAAAACAATAAATAAAACGGCAATAAGAAACAAACACAACCAAACCCTATAGAAAATGAATTATGAAGTCTATGTAAACAAAATTGCCCTTCAAAAAATATTAATCATCTAAATTATCTTGCTCATTTTAATTCATCTTGTGACTAATTGATTAGTTATGGAAATTATGGAGTTACTAGTCTGGACAGATTATGACTAAAAATCCCTCTGGGTGGAAAATCTTGCAGAAAACAACAACAGAAAAAAAGCATTCATATGAAGTGCTTCATGATAAACTAAAGGTAGTGCCCACTTGAAGATTTAAACTAATATATATTTACATTTGGTGAGTTTATCATCAATTTAAGAAACGTTAAGTGTCTACGGATCAGATTTTGATAAAAAGAAGAAATTATTTCCTGTTGATTAACAGATCAGGAGGTAGACTGACTCGGATTTCATTTTAAAACAAGCAAAAATATTGACTTCCTCACAAAGAAATAACAGATTTCTGATATTATCCTTCTTTTGTGTTGAACAAACCAGTGATTGAACTAAGACGTCTTATTTTTAACTTAATACCAAGTCCAATCTGGCATAAGAAGGTAAAAATGAGTCTGTTAACCATGGCTGAGATTCTGCTCCTGATCCATTTGATGCATTGCCACATTCCTAAGTAAAGGCAACAAAACACTGATAGGATAAAATCAGAACTCACCCAGGGCGGCAGCTCCGTTGCTGGCAGACTCTGCTTCGCGGTCGTATCCTGGTGATCTAGGAACGCCAAAGCCCGGTTTATCCTGTAGTCCTTGCTGCCATGGTTCTTCCTCCAGTAAAAAAGCATGGCGAGTCCAATCAGAACCCAGCTGAAGCTGAACTCAAAGTATCCCAATATGTAGATGGGGAATACGATGGCAAATGTTTTGGCAAATTTAATCCACATTTGAGAGACGTCGGTCAGTGAAGACGGCTGCTCCTCTTCCAGCTGCTCCGGGGCCAGAGGCGGACCCGGTGGCGGCGGTACCTGGTTCCCACTGGGCGCTGGGACAGGTCCATTTGCCCTGGTGCCTGGTCCTGCAGTACCCTCCATCCTGTTGCTCATTTCCTCACTGTAAAGACATTTTTGACAGTGATTTTTAGGGGAGCCTTTCACAGTATTATCACAAGGATGTGGAGTCGTCCTCAGACAGGACGCTCTGATAGGTGGTGACAGCGCTTTGGCACACCGCAGAGGCAGACAGACAGAGCTGGCATGGGCCGGTGAAGAGCTGCAACACTGGCAGCCAGCAGGCTAAACATAGCGCTAAATAAACTGGCTGGAGTTAGAAATGAAAGAAGAAGGTTATGACTTTGATTTGAATATTAGAGGAGGATTTCAGGGCTCAGAAAACAATTAAAACAATGTAAACAAGGGAATAAGTGTGAGACAAGACATTATTATTGCAGCAGGTATGAAGCTCAACTGTCTATTAAAAAGAAGATTGTTTAAGCTACTACAAAAATAACTGGTGAGGTTATTTTTGCTGATGGGTAGAGCTGGAAAGTAAATAAAATATTATAGATATGGCAATAGATGAATATCACTGAACCGCACAGCATTCTGGGCAATGTAGGCAGAGGAAAGGCAACCTATCACAGCCAGCTAGGTAAGGTTGGTGGCATCAACTGATGCTCTGTGGTTACCTAGCAACTCACTCACTCACTCTTTGGTTACCTAGCAACTCACTCACTCACTCTTTGGTTACCCAGGAACAACATGTTGAGCAACTTGCACTGCAGCAGTTTAAGGTTTTACCACTGTGTCTTCTCATAACTGATTAAAAATTTAAAAAACAACAGTGTGGATAAAAACAATTCAGAAATCGCATTTTCCAAAACTGGATTTAAAAAAAAAAAAAAAAAAAAAGCAACAAACTTCCCCTCTCTGAAGTGTAGCTATTATACTAAACAAATGTAATTTTTTTAATGAATTGCTTCTTTAAATTTATGACAGAAATTATTTAATGGCAAAGAAAGAATTGGTCAGTCACATTGACTATTTGATTATTATAACTTTTGGTACATCTTTAAACCAGTGTTGTGAAATCCAGGCCTCGAGGGCCGGTATCCTTCAACATTTAGCTGTGTCTCTGTCCAGACACTCTTAAATAACTCTGTCCAGACACTCTTAAATAAAACCTGAATTACCTCCAGCAAGCAGTCAGGCTCCACAGAGCTCTGCTAATGGCCTAGTTATCTGATTCAGGTGTGCTGAAGAAGATAAACATCTAAAAGATACCAGGCCTTCAGGACTGTTGACATGCCTGATGTAACAGATATCTGACCAAGAGGAAACATGAACACATCATCTCTATTTAAAATATGATCATAAATTCAGGTTGACAGCATCAAAACAAACTGTCTCACATTTTCAACACGAGTTTGCTGTACACATGTTTTTTTTTGTTTTGTTTTTAAAAAGTTTGACCTAAATAGCTGCATGGTGATAACCCTGTTGAGTAAAAATAAACATCAGATGCAATAATGAATTCAAAAATTGTTTTTATATGCCAAACGTAAATGAATATGGCTTGTAGAAATTTAAATTAATAGCACTGTCATAAAACGTTGGAATGTGAAAAGTCACCTTTGCTATGTATAAATTAAAATGCTTTATAAATACCACTGTTATAAATCTATGGTAGCATTTGCCATCTAGAAACTCTACATCCTATAAATGTCAACTACTTCAACTCATTTGAAGCAATTAGTCTGACTTTTATTTAAAATCAAAATTCCTTTAAATAAAGTTTGATACCCATAAAATGCTGTTTTCATATATTGTTGTAAATTGTTATTAAAACAAGCTTTCTTCTGCACATGCCAGGCATAAGGAAATTGATCAGAGTTCATTTGAATATGCCCAATTGTAACGTTTTTGTTGCTACATGTTTTCATTAAATATCTCCCACACAGTGTTTACTTGGAAAATATTTCAGCTGCATTTATTTTAGCAACAATAGCACACACAGATGTAGTTCTAAAGAAGAACAGGGCTGACTTCATCAACTACTTTGAGCCAGGTAGCTATAAAAGTCAAATGCACTGGCTAATGTATTCCAGTAAGGTGATTTACAAGTTTCAATATTTCCTGCAGATCTGCCACTCCACCCATTACTTCAGTCAAAAACGACACCAGAGGCAGGCAGATGGAGTTAAAATAAGCCCAGGCTGTGCCTAAAACATAAAAGGTGGAGTCTTTGCAACTCAAATGTTGTCAATGTTTTCAAACACCAGCTGATCGGCTGGCTTCTTGTACCTTTTGTGATGTCATCTACATGTGTTCAGTGCACTTAATAAAAAGATGTATTTTGTGAAGTCCTGTAATCCTCCTTAGCTAATTAATTATTCCACAGCATGTTATTATTAAAAGTCAACTTCATCTGCTGTCATGCCATCTAAAAAGTATTAAAAAGGACATTAATAGTGAAATTACTTGCAGGAAAACTATGCAGGCCATTCGGTTAAATTCGGTTTCAATAATAAATTCCCAACTCTTTTGGTTTGTTTAATATTTTAACTTTGAAAAGTCTCTCACTTCATTCCTCTACCATTACTCACTGTAACGAATGATCGAAGCTGTTATGAAAGCAGATATTTTACCAACATATTTAACGTTTTTTTAGGGTGTGTCAAAGCCGAATCAAATAAAATAGAATAATTAATCAATTTTTTATCAACAAACCACTTTTGACGTGTCCAAATTTGATGTTTGATATTATGTATCTTAACTGGAACAGTTTTTGAACCGAGTCCGCCGTGACGACACAGTGACACGTATAAAGGCACTTCACCGGTGTTACGTACAGTAAAAAAAACAACTACTTGTTCCTCAACGGCTAAAACTGAGCAAACAGCCCACTCACCTATGTCCTCCAGCAGCATTCGCTCTATCCGAAGCAAAAAACAGGGAAAATTCAATCGAGCAGCTGCTTCCTCTGCATGCCGACCAGCTAAACTCCGACAGCCCTGTTCCCTCCTCTGTTCATCCTCCAGTCTGTGAAGGAGAGCCGTCCGTCTCAGCAAATCTGCAGGAAGCTGTCATCGCGAGAAAACAAGTCACCGACAAGGAGGGAGCTTCAAACAGACCCAGCTACAACAGACGCGGGCGCCATCTGGTGGCGGAACGTAACGGTCACGTTATCCAAACGAGTCAGCTCATTTTTATCCATTCATGGCGGAACGTTCAGTTCAGCGAGGCTGGTGTAAAAACATCAGAAAGATGGTTTGACTATATTTAATGAGAGAAAATATTCAGCTGAAGCCAAAATTATGTAGCCTATTAATATAAGTAAATTAAAAAAAACAACTATTCTAAGTCTGAAATGAGTTTTAATCATCCCTAATTTACATTAAATTGTGTAAAAAGTTGTGATCAAAATGGAAAAAGTCATTAATTCGGCATTTTTCTAGAAAATTGTCTCCAATAAATATTCTTTGATCACCATTCCACATTTGAATTGTAATTAATCCAATAAAAGCACATTTAGGTGCCACAAAGCAAAGTGTCCTTTACTTTGAAATTAAAGATAAGGCACATGAGTTATTTTAAAGACAAATACATTATATTGTACCTAAAAAGATTAGAAGATTTACATTTGTTGGTAGTAATGCTTCCCTAATTAAATCCAAATCAATTTATAAAGCATATTTAAAAGCAACAAGAAAGTCAAAGTTCTGCACACGCTAATAAAAAATATATAAATGCAAAACAAAGCACAGACATTGAAAAGAGTCAAAATAAAAAGGAAATAACATTAGAGCATATCAACTCTTAACTAATCAGTTGTGAATGCATAAAATGTGTGTTTTAAAAGAGACTAATTTAAAATAAAAAAAGTGTCCATTAGCATCAACAGCCTGTGCTGGAGATCCAAATCAGAATAACATGTGAGGACCACAAAACAAAAACAGTTCAAGGGCCACAGATGGCCTCCTGGACTTGGACTCGGACTGGGCTTCGCTAAAGTTTACTGTTTGACTGTCTCTTCTATTTTTACCTCCAGATACAGATGCAATCATTGTCAAACTCGGTGGTCAGTCAACAGAGTTTGCACAGAGGTAATTTTCCCACTAGATGTCAGAGAAGTGCTTATATAGTGAAACCTGTCTGTCTGTGGCCTAATCTCAGCTCAGCTGTGGTAAAACTGCAGTCAATATCACAGCTGAAAAACTGATAATCACTTTATGAAGAACCTCTTTTAAGATCCATTTTATTTTGTTTTATTATTATTATAAAATAT